GTGTTGTGGTGTGTAGGTGTTGTGTAGTGTGTGTGTAGTGTGTGTGTGTGTGTGTGTGTGTGTGTGTGTGTGTGTGTGTGTGTGTGTGTGTGTGTGAGAGTGAGTCTGGAGCTTGTGAGGCTCAGTTAGAGGAAGGGGCGGGTCTGTCGAGGTCAGACTCTACTCCGAACTCCGGGTTAGATCCATGGCTGCAAAACAAGTCAGAACACAGTCAGTTATTTTTGTATTAACACATAACAATATTTAAATATTCATACTGTGAGTTTCACCTCTCAAGAAGTCAGAGCAGAGTCAATTATTTGTATATAAATGTACTAAATGACGTCTAGAGTCCTCTCAGTGAACACAACATGTAAGGCAACTATTAGCATACTGGGGGGTGTCTGTGGCTCTGAACCTGGATAGTGGTCCTTCAACAAGGTTGGTGGTTCAACCCCCAGCCCCTGCCGTCTAAATGTCAATGTGTCACACACACACACACACACACACACACACACACACACACACACACACACACACACACACACACACACACACACACACACACACACACACACACACACACACACACACACACACACACACACACACAATCATTTAATATTAAGTTTAAATATCAAATAAAAGGTTAAACTTAATATTTTGGCTTTCAACTAACAAGTGATGAGTAATTTGTTGACATAATACAGTTTCAATTTCTTCATTATCTTATAAACCCCAGTTGGTATTTTAATTATAAGGAATCCTCTAACTAAATCATCTTTAAAAAGACCAGATGTTCTTATGTAATTAATAGCAATTGTAACAAATGGAATCTAAACTGCACAACTCTTTTTTTTCTTCTCGGAAGCCGTTCTCCTATTGGCCTAAGGGCTTATGTTGCCATTAGAAGTCCTGTGACTGCAGGACCTTTATCTGATTGTGTAATGGAGTTCCACTAAATCCCAGTAGCGGCATTAGGCTTCGTCTCCCCTGGCTCAAGTCTGCCTTAGTTAATTATAGACTGTCTATCTCCTCCCGGGAAACTCACAGGACACGGTTACGTAAGGATCCAAGCTACTAAATCACCCCTGAAAAATCCCTCATCCAGAAATTCACCTCTGAAGAAATGACACATTCATTTCTGTACCATGAAGTCTGAGATGATCATACATAAGCCTAGTTTAAACTTCTCTTTATTGGGTTTTTAAAACCATGATATACTTAATTGTCATAAATAATTGTGTGTAAAAATTACATAGATTAATTGTTTTAACTTTCTTTTTCATGAAACCAGACCAAATGCAGAGACAAGTTAGATCCTGCACATTCAGAATAAGAGTCCAAAGTGAGAGCTTCCACTTAGTGGTAAAAGATTAAGAGACTCAGGATTAACCCCTCATTAAGCACCTGAGCCCACGGCAGAAATAAAAAGTACATAGAAAGTGAGCAGAACAAAAATTATAATCTTTTACTACAATTAACATCCTGAATAAAAGCGAACTTCTAATACTATTTTTGTTAACGTTTTAAAATGCGTGTAAAGTAAAAGAAAACACCCCACCTGTGTAAAACGCGCTGGTATTTGGGAGAATTCTTGCAGCTCCAGGTGTCACCATAGCACCCGGTCGTTACCCCAGCCGCTGCGCCTGCCCTCCGGCTGCTGATCCGTGAAGCCTCCCGAGAGCACGCAGGCCACTGGACATCCACATTTTGTGGGGGGGGAAAGAGTCAATTTCAGAGAGGAAATGTCCCGGTGAGAGTGTTCGCAAAACTGCGCGCCATGAGGGAAACACAGCAGAGACCGGAGAGACACCGACCGGCCGCGAGGAAGAGAGGAATAAAGGGATGAGAGAGGGAGAGGGGAGAGGATGAGGGAGGAGGGGTAATTGGATTGAGGCGTTCAGCACCAAGGGCAGCTCCGCACCAACAGCTTGATTCCACAGAAACTCTCGCGCTCCCTGCGAAGCAATCTAACTCACTGAAAGACAAATACATCTTAAGAACAAAACAAACCAATCAGTTGATTATAATAAAGTATTTGAGTGGTCCTCTGGGGAATGGGATCTTAATTCCTGATGTTAAAAATCCTATAAATAGAGATTAAAGGATGTTTTCTGTGTTGTTTCAACTTTTTAAAGAGGATTTATCGTGTTTGAGAACAGACATTTGCACTGTATCGATTTAGAATGTTTAGTCAATAAAAGAGGCTTCTGTTTCCATGGCAGCTGCCACAGCTCCACACAGGCTGCTCAGTCCAGCTCAGCCGCCCCCTGTCCTCTGGAGGTGTCAATCCAACCTCAGGACTCCACACAGAGAAATGTAAATCCAAATGAGTTTACTTGTCATTTCTTCAGTTTATGAACACAAATTGACCATTTTAAAAAGTGTATTTCCATTTGGAGACTTTACATGTTTGCCATAGTATAACTGTATAAGAGAATGAGTCCATATTAAGCTCTTAACAATTATACATTTGAAAATAAAATGTCAAAGCAAATGAAGAGTGTAGCTAGTACAGCAGTACTGTATGTGTGTGCACTTTATTTTTAATTTCGGAATATGGAAACTTCCATTAGATAATGTGTCACATTCTCTATCTCCTCCCAGAGTATCTCACACCGTCCCAGGTTAGCACCCCCTAGCACTCTGTTTGACACTTACTGTGATCTGATCCCCATCAGCACTCTACAGATAGATTAGTGTAAGAAATAATATGTCAAATATGACCAATATGCACTATATGCATTCAGAGCATCCAGAGTATTATTTATCAAATCAGCTGTTAACCTACTGAACTGTACAAAATAAGAAAACCAGCAAATAAAAGCAATTTACAGCCCCCAGGATTTCAGATACATGTTTAGGCTATAGGACTGCAGAACAGTCTCTGTTTCAGCTTAACTCATGTTTTAATGTGTGCATTTGCTGGTTGATATGTTGTTTCAAAAAAGTGTTTCCCTTTTAATTATTGTTTAACATTGATCTGATCACACATATTTTATTTGGAGCAAGGACTCGGAACACAAGGAGAACACAGGAGAGCTGTTACAGCCAGAGAATTGACAAAGACATTCGCTGCAGCAACCAAGTCACACAGCTCCTGCCTGACTAATTCTGAAGTTCTCTCCCCCCATCCAAAGTAGTTAGCTAGCTCTGAGAGAATAATCAGCATTTTGCATGACAAGACACAACAAACAAAGCACTAGGACTCCTTGTTAATATATATGTGCCAAAGGGGAACACGTCCCCGATAAGATGCACGACCAGATGTCCCTAAATGCAAAACAAAGCTTCTCTTCAAGAGAGTTCCATGATCCCAAGTTCGCAGGCCTGAGCTCTGCAAGTGCACTGATAAACTGGGTCAAAGGTCAGGGCCTAGGTAAATATTTCCTCAGCAATACGTGCAAATTTTGAATTATAAAAATAATGGAACTTAGCAAGCTAGCAGTAGGTACATGTTTCAGGAAGAAGCAAACCCCACAAATCTGGAAATAACCCCTTAAGAAAGTGGAACCCATAATGAGCTGAGGAGAAAGAGAATGAATGTAAAGGAAGTGTACCTGACTGAACTTACCCTTCACCTCAGTACACTGTGTTACAAGAGTTTGCATTTTCATAACACTCAGATTGAGGTCATCTGTCGTTAGTTTTCAATCTAACAGTGTAAAGCTTTTGCCCGCATGCTTTGGCTGCATGCACTAATGTTGTATGGCTAGTAGCATAACAAACCGCCCCCCCAAATATAATTTTGCAAACAAACATCAGATTGCGAGTCCCACAGGTTTGACTGTACAGTGCACAGAGCTAGTCTGATTGTCTCTTTGTCAAACGAGTCTATTGTTTTTACCAAGAAGTAATTTAAGTCACATTCCTAAGAATCTGCAGAAATGTGACCTTATCTAACTGTGAGCCTAGAGAGCAGCCATGTTTGAGCATCCTGAAAACAGGATGAAATTCTGATTTATTGGTTTTACAAAGTACACAAAATTCCTTCTATATCCATATATCATTTATAGAACGCCTTCCATTATTTGTGCATCATAATGCAGCTTTAACATTAAGACTCAACATTGACAGGTGTACATGCATAATTAAATAAACAGAGAACACATTGGTATTAGAACATATAAAATTGCATAACTCATCCTACCAGCATTTTTTTTTAAATAAAAAATAATTATTACTAAGAAGATGTTAGACTAGCAGTAAACAGAGAGGGGGGGGGGGGTTCAGTCGTTTTAACCCACTTTTTAAAATCAAATTTTATTTTCTATTTGCAGATGGAGAAGCAAAGTCATGCCTTGTTTTCTGAACATAGTGGAGTGCATATAGAAAGTAACGTGGAGGCGGGGCGATGGGGGGGGCTGGTCATCATACATCAGAATAACACTGTGGTCCCAAACACAGAAACAATAACACCACCCTGAGCCAAAAAATTAACACAGCTCCAATTCAGAAACACATGAACGAAATGCATAGAAAGGTCTGCGTCCAAATCTCCCAATTGGAATAATCGGAGAACAGCGGAGAGTCAGCGGGGGGGAACGACGCATGAGGACCGGGGAGATAAACCTAGTATTGTTACATCCCCCCCAAAACAAAACCAGAGAGACTATTATTACATCAGCTTTGTTGCTTTTTTTTCCCTCCTTCTGCGTCAAGCTCAAGTATGTTGGTGGTGTTGTGCTGAGGGTACACTCCCCCTTCCTTCTCCTCCTCCTCCTCCTCCTTCCTCCTCCTCCTCTCACTGTGTGGTTCCAGTCGCAAGCAGCTGCTCCTTCCCGTCACGGTGAGTGACTGCAGTGGCCGTCTCCTCCACCTCACACCCGCTCCTGACCGTTCTCTATATATTCTGCCAAGAAGAGTACGAGGTATAGCGTGCGATGGCGAAATGACACACATCCTTACCCTTAGTTCAGATAGTCAGTTTAAAACACTGGTGAAGTACTGACTTCAACACACACATAGACTGGAACACGCCTGATGTAGCAACTTAACACTTTGGAAATATATCCCTGGTTGCAATTCACGCTTGGTTTTTTCAATGTATTTCCAATCCTGTAAACAATAACCAGCTTCTTCCAACGGTCGTTTGGAAAAGTATAAACCTATACTTAAACTTTTCTTTTTACCATGGATACTGTCATTTAGCGGTTAAACGATTAATCGATTTTATCGAAATCACGATTTTAAATGATGACGATTAGAAATCCGCGAAAGCCTGCGATTTTTTTCTTCTTTTCTTTTTTTCTTCTTGTGGAGTCAGTCATCCACACCAATCACAAGTGCTGTGCTTCCACCATGCACCAGCCATTGTTAACCAATCAGAGTGGCCCATGTTAAGAAGGGATATAAAGAGATCCAATCACCTGCCAAATATTTGTTGAAAGTGCCTGCCCTTTCCAAATTGGTTCCAATGGAGCTTTCCTAGATGGTTTGGTGAAACAACATCTGATCAAGTATTTAAGGCTCCAATCCCACATGTTTAATACATCTATTACAGGCGAAGCTTAAAGGGGACCGATCACGCGAAAAAATTGCACTTTGTGATGTCTTTGTATACTAGAATATGTTCCCTGGTGCGTCGGGGAATCTCACGCAGCCATCAGAAAATAAAACTCTCTCTTTTTCCTCTGTACCCAAATCTTTTAAAAAACGGGTGTTACAACAAGGCGGATAACAGATTGGCTGCCGATAATGACGTCAAATCGGCAGCAGGACCCACAGAAAAGTTGCCATCAGAAACAATGCCTGGACGTGTTTTGGACGTAATCTCTCTTTTTTTTACATAGCAAGCTCGCTAACACTCATGAGTAACGTATGTGTTTTAAAAAGCAGGAATAAAAAAAGGATCACCTTGTGATAAAACCGCAAGAGGAAAAAGCATTTGAGCTCCATACTGTTTCCAGAATAATCCTTTGATGCTGGTGGGTATGAACAGGTTGCGTTTTATCACAGCAGAATTTAACTTTATCTCCGGTAGAATTCTGATCAGGCATTAGCTCCGCCTCCTCTTTTTTTTTTTTTTTTTAAAGCTAAGGACCCAAAATCCGCGTTTCTCTAACAGGGCTCCAAAAGAGGGGTATGAGCAGTATGAGGCATGGCTACAATGGGTGATCTGTTTGGTATTTTAAGCAAAGAACTTCACAGACATGTTTTGTAAAGGTATTTTTCCAATATAGCATAATAGGTCCACTTTAAACTGAAGCTTGACTTTAAAGCAACCCAATGGAAGTTTCATGTAAGTTTAGTTATTTAACTCGTAGCTCGGGCTGCGGGGGTGCTAGAGACCGGAGCATGTTGGACCTTCCTAGCGGGAGATATGGCCACATTTTTCAATAAACTTCCGTTGGGTCGCTTAAAAACAAATATCGCAAATCGAATCGCAATATTTCTCAGAAAAATCGCAATTAGATTTTTTCCCAAAATCGTGCACCCTTACTGTCATTTTACTTATTGTGTTTATTGATAACGTGTGCCTACTTTTTTAATATATTATGCCAGTCTAATCTTTTTAAATAATCATTTTCCCCGTTGCGAGACAAATAAAGGAATTCTGATTCAGGAACTTCTTTCCTCAAGTAAAAGTAAATAAGTTTGGGCTTTGAAATCTACTTTTAGCCTACTTTCACACTACTTTCCAGCAGTGTGAACCCGGAAAAGTTGAGTACCACAACGTTTTATGAAATAAATGTATAGTAGGGTCCCCAGCACATAGAAACTGCCGGATGCTAACTAAGCAACTAACTAACTAGGCAATTTGCACAGATGGTATAAGTTGCATTAATTAGCATAGGCAGACACTAGCTAAAAATTGGCTTCGCTGATTTAGACAAATGTGGAGTTGTTTTGGATGTTATGGAGGATGTACATTTTATTTCTGACATTTTTAGGATAACAAATTTGAGTCCCCAAAAATATAAAAATCGAACCAAAATGTATAACAATCAGCCCACCGGGGGGGACAAATATGGCAACTTTCTAGTTCAAACTTTGGAAATTGATTAAACCTCCTCAATAACCCCCAAAACAACTACAACATTGCACAAATAGGCCGAGACACTTTTTAGCTATTGTCTGCATATGCTAATTAATGATAATGAACAAGCCTATTTGGAAAATGTAGGAAGTAGAAGGTACAGGTATTTGTGAGCGTATTGTTCCGTCCATCCACCGCATTGATTAGGCTATACTTTTTAAAGCCAGTTGCATCGAGGGAGAGCTTTATTTTTTAGTAGCGTTCAGGTTGTTTCCACATTAGTATTATCTTCTCTTTTCACTAGATCAATATGCTTGTTTTCAGTTTAGTCATTATTTCTGCAATACTGGATAGACTTTATTTAGGTCTGTCACCTCACTACCTGCTCAACGTCTGTGGACCAGTGCTGCACTGATGGCAGCTTTTTATATAATAGATTTGATCCTTTAAAAAAATATAATTATTTTTTTGTATCTTTGGTAAAAATCTATTTGTATTCTCTCTTTATGTTGTCAGTCCAGAGTCCCAGCAGCCTTAATCCTCCGTTGTCATGGTTACCTCTTAGTGGTGATCTTCCTGCCGTTGATGATCTTCGTGGAGGAAGAAACAGAGCGGAAGTTTCCCATGCCTCCTCCACCTCCTCCGCCACCTCCTCCTCCTCCGAAGGAACTGGAGGAAAACGAGGTGAAGCCGCCACCTCCCAGGCTGCCCATGGTTGTCATGTGACCCATGGGAGCCATATGACCCATGGGGCTCATAGAGCCGAAAGAACCGAAGCCTGAGAGAAACAGGAGAGGGAAAGTGTCATTAGACAGGGGACAATAACAGGGGCTGTCTGTGTTTGAGTCATTGGTGCAGGTCCTACCTGGGTCAAAAGGTGAGAAGCCAGCACCAAAGGGAGGAAAACCAACAAAGCCCCCGAAGAACGAGCCGCCTGTCCGGCTGCGATGTCGCTGACTGTGGTGCCGCCGACCGCCGCTGAAGAACGGATCCTCACTAAACGGATCTGCACCTGAGAGACAAGAAGCAGCATGAGAGAGAGGGTTACAGAAGGATAGGGATAACTCAAAGTGTGGTGCAGGAATGAGTCCGAAAAGCTGGAAATTAGTTAGCATTTCAGCATTTCATTTAAAGGATTTTGGTTAGAAGCCTGAAATTAGATCGGTGGTTAACACAAGCTGAAGAGATTTTCACATTTATTTCTACAATATAAAATCGGTCAATAAATACCCCACTGGTGAAAGTCTGAAGCTTCGATGTGTCATAAAAACAGCTAACAAGTGACTGAATGAGCCAAATTTCATCAAGTCTGACATTAGCCGCCTTTAGCTTAGTGAGGATGGCGTGCAGTCATGTGATCGTGATGTAGCTTGTATATAGCCCAACGTTAGCTTTCTACTTTTTGAGGTCCCATTTACACTTCAAAATGATACATTTTTGTTAATATGTGGAGATTATCCTGCCAAACAAAACGTGTAAGTATCATGAACATGTGTTTTCCACAGATCTGTTTTTCAGAAATCCCATTGCTTTTCGTCGAGGGATCTCTTCCAATTCTAACTTCTGGGTCGCCTCAGAAAATAACATCACTGCACCGATTACCTTCATTAGACAATTACTTTTAGTATTCAAATATTTTCTGAAGTGTTATTTAATATAAAGTTGAGGCACTTCCTTTATATGTGCACATTTTCAAACACACTTCCAGAGCATAAATCAGGCCATCGTCGGTGTTTGAGGGAAATTCTCAGTAGAAAACTTCTGAATATAAACAGTAATGAAATTGAAGAGTTTGCTGTACTTTCAGGGAATTAAGTAGAAATCCACAGAAATAACACCTTAACTGGTCATTCTATGTATTCTGTCATGTTATGGAAACAAACTGTTCGGACTGAATAGTTCATGAAGAGTCACCAAGGGTCTCCATTTTAGATCAATCACAACCGATGCAGGGGATGAGGAAGATTACGATGAATGCTGAACATGTTCTGATCTGCAATTAGGTCAAACTTCTGGAGAAAGTGGAGATGTAATAATGGGACTTACCAAAGAAGTCAGCGAACGGGTCTCTGCCTCCAAAGAATTCCCTGAAGACGTCGTCTGGGTTTCGGAATGTGAACGGTTCTTGGAAATGATTTCCGTTGTGGAAATGCCCTCCTGAAACATGTCAATAAAAACTGATGTAAACAGTACGAACAGAACGAGACGAAAACATTACAAAATGCGTTCAACAGTGCCAGGTCAGCATTTATTTGCAGCATTCGGACCCATCCAATCCATTATTGTTAATCAGTTTATTTTCCTTCTGATTTGTGAATTATTATTTAGTAATTTAATGTTTTTTGTTTGAACTGTGTCTCATCTTGTTACGTTTGACCTGTAACCAAATCATTTCTTTAAAATAAATAAGAAAACATTTTTTGAAAAAGTGCTTCAAAAGCTGACTTCCAGTTAACACACTGAGCTTTGAATAAGTAACAAATGTGTAGTTTGCTCGTTTGCAAGAAATGTTGAAGGACAAGCAATAAACATTTCATGGTCACTAAATATCTTCAGATACATGAAGGTTTCAGCTGTACCTGGAAATGATTCATACTTTAGTCAAATGTCATGCTTTTGATCTGAATCAGAATTATATTCAATATTCATCTAGGGAAAATATGGGTTTGAGACTGTTGCTAAATGTTTCAATCGAATAGAAATACATTTAAAAAAAAGAATGAAGTGATAAACACAAATTAGTTGGAGTCAGAATTTGCAATAGGAAGATAAGTTTAAATAAATATCATTTTATAAAAATAAAAATTTAAAGTATGACCAGTCAAATAATAATAATAATAATAATAATAATAATAATAATAATAGGGTAAACAAAATAGATGTATATAAACGTAAAAAGTTCAAGTTAAAATGTGCACATTGTATAACATTTATAAAATGTATATTACAATATCTACAGTGGTCAATTAGTATTACAAATATATCAATAAAACTTAAGCTCCCCAGTTGTTTCCACACATAGGAAAGGATAGATTGATGTTTCACCTCTTCCTCCATTGTTCCCTGTCAGCCCCTCTTTGCCATAGCGATCATAAAGGCTCCTCTTGTTCACTGGAAGGGGAAAGGAAAAGTGTTAAAGTAGAAAACAGTCAGACACATGAAGAGTAGATGAGGAGGGAGAGGCATGTGATCAGGTATCTGTTCAGAGCTGAGGTACAAACCGTCTGAGAGCACCTCGTACGCCTCTGACAGCTCCTTGAACTTCTTCTCTGCCTCGTCCTTGTTCTCTGGGTTTTTGTCAGGGTGCCATTTCAAGGCCAGCTTTCTGTAACTGCACCAAAACAAAGAGAAGATAACAACAGCTCCACTGAAAACACTAAATACTGTGTTGTCTGTGCCTTTAGCTAGACATCATGACACATTATCCTGTGTATCGCTCATCTGCAGCATGTGTCATTTGGTTGAGTTACTACTGTTGATATGGGATGTGAAACATTGTAATTCAATAATTACATTAACTTTCTAATATCACTCAAACATAGTGTGAATACTATGTGCTGTGATGAATGTTTTTACTGTAGAAAATCTAGAATGCCGACAAACATTTACTTAATGACCATTAAGAGTCATGTGTACGCTTTCACTTTGTTGAAAAACATTTCAATTGTGAGGAATGCTCAGGAAAGATTGCAGTGATTGAAGAGCAGCAAAAACAAACACAGAAGCGTTTTGATTAAACGCTGCACACGTGTTGTCAAGTCGGTGAAGATGTTTCTTAATTTGCATGTGTTTTAGAACATTTGTATTTGCATCGTTTTTGGAACTGCAGTACATTCTTCTTGATATAAATGAGTTGGGCCATTGTAGCACACCGTATTAGCAACATCACAGATGAAAAATAGCATTTGAAACTTGATCGACTCACGCTTTCTTTATGTCATCTGCAGACGATTCTCTCCGTACTCCTAACACCTGGTAGTACTCTACCATGATTAGGGGTAAAGGGAGAAACTTCAGGGAGCTGAAACAGAGACAGATGAGATTGTTACGAGCCACTATGGTCAGAGTCCTGGATGGAACATTCAGAACAGCAGAACATCACCTGTGTTAAACCAGAAGGGACCATTATATTCTCATGACATCTTTACACCGTGAATATACTGTATGTTATGTTTTTACACAGTACATATTAATACATTGATCTTGCCAAACAGGGCTAAAATATGCTGAGGATAAGCGAGATGCGTGAAAAACACAATTATTTGAGTTCCGAATTTTTACTTTTTTTTAATAATTATAATAATTTGGGGATGAAAGGAAACATTTTAAAGAGTTTGAATAAAGCAGATGAATTCTGATTTTTTTTTTTTTAATTGGCCCTAATCCTCTTAAGTAAATATGGGACACAAAAAGAGACATTATGCAATGACATAATAACAAAGCGGCACTTTTGGCCCTTTGCAATTGAACTAAGCATCATTTGGATTCCGAGTGACTTGCTAACATAGACCATTGCGTAACATATTTTATGTTTAAAAAAGTATTTTTGTTGATATTATCAGTGATATTTTTCTCTATCTATCAGTTTATTTGACAAGGGCAATGTATAGTAAAAGGTTACAAAAACTCAACGCAGATGTGGTGCTTGTAGAGTTTCTTATTTGAGACCCTTGTCCCTGGTTAGACTTACCAACTATCATTCATACTGGTTTCAAACATAAAGAACATCCCGCCTTACATTACAAGTACAAAGTTGATGTTGAAGTACAGCCACATTTTGGGTTGTGACCGTTCCATATTGAGGAATGTCTCTGAGCACCTCTTATCACAGGAAGCCTTTGTCTCCGAGCTGTGAACAACGCTCTCCTCTCAGATTCATTCGAAAATGCATTCACATGGTTATGTGTGGTTAAGTGTTAAACAAAGGCTTCTTTGTAGTTCCTGGTAAATAACAGAGCCTCCGCCAAAATCCTGCAGGATTTTAAATAGTGAAACACTTTTTCAAATAAGTAACTGAATTACTTTATAAGTAATACAAAGTTATAACAACTATAAACAGAACTCTGGTAACATTTGAAAAGGGCGCTGGTCAACTGCATGAGGACATACGTTGTTCATCAAGTTATTAGAGATTTGGTAATGAATCCAGCTCTATGCAACCCTACTCACTCACTTTGTATTTGCCATATATAAAAATATAGCCACTATAATACTGTTCTAATGAAAAGGCTCATCAGTGCACTACTTACACATTAGCTCATGCATTTAAACATTAACTTTTAAAGAGTTTAGATCCAATTGTTCTCATACAGACAGCACTGGGACTAGGGCTACAGTTATTTGGAATGGAATCAAAATCACAATATGGGCTGGTGCAATATGAAAATTGCAGGAAGCACAGCAAAATATGTAAGAATAGTAATCGGAATTAAGCATTTTGGGGCTATTAGATGTCCCTGCCTTCAAAATCGTATTTTACGACTTAATAAAACATACATTATTGCTCTAGATTCTTTAAAAAATATCACAACACGATGATTGATATAACTTTGAATGATAATGAGAATAATGATGTAGAAATTATCAATCCCTCCAATATCATGAATTATATTGCAAATAAAATGTGAGTAAAAATAATATCATCGTAATTAGCTTCTTTTTTTGTTTTTTAATTATGCTTCCTAATTATATCATGGTGAATGACGTTTTTTATTATGTAATATTACATTTACATAATGTAGTGCAAAAAACCGGGAACAGTCATTCCACAATATTAACAGCACTAACAACAATCTCCTAAAAACATTCGGTGTGTCTTTCTTACTGGCAGCTTGTAATCCATGCCGCTCTCTGTAATGAGGATGCTCCGTCTGATATTGTCTACCAACCGCTGTTAATGACAATAGCAGTGCTGCTGATTGTTGGGACCCCAGTGCTCTGTAAAGAGGAGAGAACTACGTCTCTGTGTTATGGTGCATCACTATAGCACATCATTGTATGGTCAGATACTTCGTTAGCATTAGGACTTAACGCCTCACCGAGCAGCGGTAAACTAACGGCCACACAGCGCGGTGCAGCTGGAGGAGAGGCTAGCTGTTTATCTCTCCGTGACCCTGGCTACTGCTACCCGGCACACAATAAAGAAAGAGCCAGGAACCGTGGGGTTTACGGGGGAACTGTATATAAAGGGAATGTATAGTATGTCCAAAATTCCGATGTGAAGCATCATTTCTCGCTGAAGCTGTTTTTGTTTGACGTAGCGTATGTTAGCTGCTCACTTTAGCGAACCTAACGTAAACTGGTTACAGGGGTATTTGAGCTCAGTAAACATCACTAGCTACATTAGCTCCGCTTTCAAACACTCTTACCCAATTCAAGTCCAGCTGTCCGTGAATTCAGAAGATGTGCAGGTCAGCCAATTTGTCATTTAGGTTGAGTCAGACGCTAAACAGGTTTATTCATGTTCAGCAGTCTGCAGGTTTTCAGATTAGACGCAACGTCCTGTTTCTGAATTCATCTTCTTCTTCTTCTACGGTCAGTTTAACGGCAGCTTTGCATAATTTTTGTTGCATTGCTGCCACCTGGTGGAGCTTTTTAGATACTATATCGCCCACTTTTGTTTTTGAAAGAAAAGCATGGGTTACTATGTCTTGTTTTTGACAGAATGTTGGGCTACTCTTTTTAAACCCAACCGCATTTTGAATATTAACCCCCCCCCCACCAACCTAAATAACCTATACTTTCAGGAAACAATGATTAATGATTATTAGGATACAAAGCATATCTTGCTATCCAATATGTATTTACATGCCACAACCAAAGGGCCACATTATCATTATTACTGTATCATTGTGTACTCTTGTTTTTGATGCTTTGGCAACACTGTTACCTGAAACGTCCTTGTCAATAAACCCTGGCTGAACTGACACTAATGGGTTCAAATAAGATAAAAGGCAAAACTTTAATGAATTCCTCATAGCTGATAATATGAAGCCATTAGTGAGTCTAAATATGGCATGAATACCTTGGACAGCTCCCACAACCATGGCTGACCTAGGATCAGAAACTTGGACAGCAAATATGACATGATTGATTTGCCATAACAGCAAAAGAAATCCCATGTGAAACCCATGTTATTACAAGTGAAACCCATGGGAACACATGTGAAACCTATGTTATGAGGTGTCAAACCCATGTTATTACATTTGAAACCCACAATTATATGTGAAACCTGTGTGATTACTTGTGAGTACCTGTATTTGAATGTAAAGTGCATGTCAAATCTTGCATGTAGAAGTACACTTGCATATACTTTTGAGTGGATGTGTGAACAAAGGAAAATGTAGTAGTACTTGCATTTTCTCTAAAACAGTGTAACCAATAAAAAACAAATCTATTTATGTCATTTGTACATACAAATTGGAAATTGAGTAAGCAGCAATTCCTCACGCCAAAACGTCTCCATGTTTCCCGCAGAAAAGAAGTAAAACAAATACTACTGACACATATTTAGTTTTTGTTTGAAAACATTTATTAAAACATTACAAAAAGAAACACTAGAAATCAAATGGAGGGGGCACAAAATGTTTCCTGTTTCCTGTTCTCTGTGGTGTGTGTGTGTGTGTGTGTGTGTGTGTGTGGGTGTGGGTGTGGGTGTGTGCGTGCGTGCGTGCGTGCGTGCGTGCGTGCGTGCGTGCGTGCGTGCGTGCGTGCGTGCGTGTGTGTGTGTGTGTGTGTGTGTGTGAGACATCCCTTATATACGTATTGTGTTTGTGTGTGCGTGTCTTGCCCCTCTGGATCTCCTCCTGTAGGCTCCCTGTTTTGGCATTAAAGAAGAAAATCAAAGATTAGGTCAGTACAAACATTAAAATGATGTTATGTAATACAATTTTGATTGTATCTGGATTTGCTTGTGGCATCTTAAGAGACACATGTGTAAACTAAGTTGAACTAATCCCAAAACAAGGCCCAGGTATTCAGAGTGACAACCAACAAACACAGATTCTAATTAATTATTTTGTATATCAAGAAAATACAAAATATAAAAGTAATGTAACACATTTACAATATATTTAGTATCAGAAATGTGTTCCAATTATGATTCTGTTAAATATAAAAATATATATAATTATTTCCCTGTTTAAACTGTTGAATCTCATTCAAGAGGCATGGCCTGATTGACCAGTTTGAATTGCGACGGTGGGCTCTCGTGCTATAATTGTGACTGGACAAGGGGGGAATCTTTCCTCTTGTGGGTGAAAGAGCCGCACCAGGCCTGTTATGAGAAGGCACATGCATATTCTTCTATTAAATGCGTTATGCTTTACATGTTATCACATGTTGTAACACGTTCCAAATGTGCTTCACCCATTATTACCTGTTGTATGGTTAGGGTTAGGGTTAGGGTGATGTGTTTTTTTCTGTAAGTTGCTATGGTGATACGGTCATTAACATGTTTGGAACCATGTCTAATGAAGCCCCAAAGCACATTGGAATGGGACAGAACTTTGGAATTGTAGAACGTGACATAATGTGGACACTTACCGCTCCTACACATGGCGGCGTGCGTTGTCGCTTGCCGGCGGGGGGGGCTGAAACTCGACCAACAACCAATCACATGAATCTCCCGCCCCAGATACACAAGCACGCGGTTTGATTGGCTAGAGCTTGCACTGGCATATGATTCGAATGGCTGACGCCTCCGTCGAGGCGGCAAAAGTAGAACATTGCTCTACTTTTGCAGCGAGCACCGCGAGAGAAGCTACGCTTTGCTCCCGCAATGCAGTTCGGCGAATCGTGACGTCACCCCATTCAAAGGGAATGGGCAGAAGCGTTGAAGCAGCAACGCACGCCGCTGTGTGTAGGGGCCGTTATGCCCCTTTCACACCAACGCGTTTTCAGCTCCGGCTCGGAGCTGGAGCCTGAAGAGTAGGCCTACAGTTTTTTCCTGTTCACACCGCAGCGGCGCCGCCTCTTAGCTCCGGAATCCGGTTCACTTCCAGCTCCAAAAGGTTTTTGGTCTAGAGGCAAGAGCTTCGGAGCTAAGAG